GGAAAGAGAGAAAGGACAACGCCTCATGTCACTCTTGCTCTTTGTCGGCTCACAGCTGCAGAGCTGCGTCTTCACCTCCCTGAAGCAGGGCTGGAGTGGTGCTACCACAGCCCGTGAGGGCTGGGGGGGACATGATGGGACCCTTTCTTATGTCTATGGCCACACTCAGAGTCCACGTTTTCCTCCTCTTCCACAAAAACCGCCAGTGATCCAGTTTCCTCATCGTGGACAAAATCAACTCCCAGTTTTTTTTTTTTTCTTTAGTTTTGCTATGGGGCACATGTGCTTGTCAGAGAGAGAGAGACAGACAGAGACAGAGACATCCCCAGCATGGCCTTCACTCCTTGATCCAGCCCTAGTCTTGGCCAGCCCTGATGATGGCCATGTTTGCACACACCCAGGGTGTACAGGGAGAACTTGGGTCAAGAATCTGTAACTTTATTTATGTGGATCTGAGTTACCACTGGCTACTGCCTGGGCCCTATTCTGAAATAATTTGGGACTTACAAAAATGTTGCAAAAATAGCAGAAAGCATTCTCATATGTGCTGTTCTTCCCCAAATATTAACACCACATCTTGTTGCTGAAAACCAGATGCCGAGGAACGGAAAGCAGTACTCGGAGAGATTAGGAGAACTGTTTGTTATGTTGGCAGGCACAGAGGAGTTAACACTCTGAATCTCTAGCCCCAACTGGTGGTTGGACACGATCTTTTATGGGGGAATTCGGGAAGGGTAGGTCTCAGGATGGGGAATGGGCTCAGAACTCACCCTACGCCGCATAAAAGGGAGGAGGCAGAGAAATGGGAAGTCTAATCTATTCAAGGTACTAATCTATTCGAGGTTTTCAGGTTACCCTGTAGCTCCAGGGAGGAGCAGTAAGTTTGCTGGAGGGCAGAAACTTCCGACAGCTATCAGCCCTGAGTTATTCATGAATTCAGGGTCTCTCCATATCAATCTAATCTTAGCACAAGGAGACAAATGAGGAAGCTGACATTCATATGCTACTAGTCACTACAGCTTTTATTTACACGTTAGCAATTTTCCCATGACCTGTCTTCTTCTGGAACAAGATTCTATTTAGGACCTTACTTTGACAAGTACTAAAATCACTGGGCACTCATTTTATTTTATTCACCATCATAATATTTTTTTAAAAAATTGATCAGAGAGAGACAAAGAGAGAGAGGGAAAATGAGAAAGCAAGTCACCAGGTCCGGGATTCGAACTCTGGTTGACCATGTGGGAGCCCAGAGCCTTAGCCATCACACTGCCTGCTGTTCCAACACTGAGCACTCGTACAGGTTTCTGGATGCAGGTGACACCTTGCCTACAGGAGTCTGCTTGATTAAGGCTGACGGCGCCCTCCTCCCTCACAGGGGGCCAGGGTTACATCACAAAGCTTCACTGGGGTCACAACAGGCTTCAGGGCCAGCAGGACAGTGGGCCTGGGATGGGAGTCTAGCCGGGAGGTGGCTGGTGAGGAGGAAGAGCCTGTCTGCAGAGGCAAGCAGGAAACAACTGGTAGCTAGGCCCAGCAGTGAGAACCCAGAGTGGGTAAGCAGGAGCGATCGCCCCCTTTCCATGTTGCTGATTCTCATACAGGGGCACTTCAGAAAGTTTGTGTAAAAACGAGATCAAAGTCCATGTTCATGTTGGTCCAAACACTTTTGAAATCCATGCATGGTTTTGTTTTTTGTTTTCATAACATACATGTTCTGTGAACTTTTGAATCCCCCTTGTATCTTGATTTGAATATCATCTCCCATAACTGGCGCCCCTCTGCCCCAGCCTAGGCCAGCTCACACGGCACGTGGAGAGCCACACCAGGCCACGCCCTCTCTGCCAGTGGTGAAGGAGGGAGGAAGTTCTGCACACACGGCCATGTTTAGAAATTCCGTTAGCCCAGGTCAGCAAAGAACAGAACGGGTGTTGTAAGTGGCAGAAATGCAGTTAACTGGGGAGAGGACTGGGTGGCTCTAAGGGGTGTCCTCAGAGGGGCAGCAACTATCTCCCTCTGCCCTGATGCAGGCAGGCTTCTCTGAGCAAGCCCGAGTCAGCGGAGTAGCAGGCCCTACGGAGGAAAGCCAGCGCTTCCCGGCCCACCCCCCCGAGAGGTGCACCAGGAGGTCTCTGAGGCCGCGGAGATGGAGGCCAGAGGCAGGAGGAACCATCTGCTACTGCTGGTCACCCTGGGGCTGGCAGCCAAGCTCGGTCACTTCCAGGGGTGGGAGGGCTTCCAGGAGAGGCCAATGAGCAAGAACAACATGAATGGCACGCTCAACTTCTTCATCCAGGCCTACAACAACATGAGCAACGACACCTACCTGTTCCGGGTGCAGAAGCTCATTCAGACTCAGATGCAGGTTTGTGCCTGGGCCTCCTGCTCCTGCCTGTCTGGATGCTGGGGCCTGTGGTGTGGCTCCCGAGAGGGTGGTGTGGCGGTGGCTGCAGTGGGAAGTGGCTTCCCTGGGAGGGCCCGTGGAGCTGGTCAGAGCCCAGAATGGCCAGCGGTGCGGCTGGGGAGCTAGCCTAGAGACTGGAGTGAAGCCAAGTGCCCAACCTTGGGTGGCGGCTCTCCATTTTGATGCTAAGGCCTAGGGAGTGATGGCAAATGAGAAGTTTGCTTTCTTTCCTTTTACTTATTATTATTTTTTAAAGCTTGTTTACTTCTTTCATGAAAAAGAAAGGAAGAGGGAACCAGCAGTTAGCGTAATGGCTATGTCGCTGGACTCCCAAGTAGTCGACCGCAGTTTGCGGCCCGGACCAGGTGGCTTAAAACTCATGCCAGGCACGTGTGTGTGCATGCCCAAGATCCCGAGAGGAGAATGGAGGAGAAGGGATTGCAGCGTGGCCATCCCCCATGGGGGGTGATTTCTCGCTTTCTGTCTCTATGTCTCTCTCTGTCTGTCTGGCGAGTGCACACATCCTATAGCAAAAACCTCTCCAAAAAAAAAAAAAATAGAAAGAAAGAATGAAAGGGAGAGACAGGGAGGCAGGTACCCTAAACAGGGCCCTCACACTGGGATCTGCCCCAGGTCCAGCCCGCCTGGCTCTCGCACAGGTGTACAGGAGCCGGGTGCTTCCGGGGGGTCTTTCCCCAGTGGGTCTGCTGCACTATCTCTGTCCGTCTGGCCCAAATTTCAAATTTGCTTTCTTTCTTTTGTTCCTTAAGAATAGTTTTTATCTATTTATTTATTTTTAAAATATTTATTTATTCCATTTGTTATTATTATTTTTTAATTAGACGAGAGAGAGAGAGAGAGAAAGGGAAAGTGAGAAAGCAAGTCTCTAGGTCCTGGACTCACACCGTGGTCAGCCATGTGGGAATCCAACAACCCCAACCACCACACCACCTGCCGGGCCCCAAGAATCATTTTTATTTCATTTTATTTATTATTTTAAAATTTTGCTCTAGGGCACATGTGCAAGAGAGAGAGAGGGGGACAGTGCGAAAACAAGCTGCCAGGTCTGGGACTCAAACTGTGGTCAGCCATGTGGGAGTCTAGTGCCTTAACCACCATGCCACCTGCTGGCCCCACATTCCTTTCTTAAAGGAATGTGAAGGGTGTCTTCAAAAAGTTTATGGAAAGTGCATAGTATGAAAAAATTGCACAGCTTTCAAATTTTTTGTACCAAAATAAACTTACACTCTTAATTCCCTTTTCACAAGCTTTTCAAAGTCCTCACACAAACGTAGACCCCCCAGCCTCACCCCAACATTTTACCACTGTCCCAAAATATAGCATATGAGATTGGGTTTTCTGTTTGTAGAAACTTGAAATTGTACAGGGAAGTTTTTCTTTCTTTCTTTCTTTCTTCCTTTCTTTTCTTTTCTTTTCTTTTCTTTTCTTTTTTAAAGAAAGTTATTTATTTATTTTTATTTTATTTACTTATTCATTTATTTTAATTTTACCAGAGAGGGACAGAGCGAGAGCGAGAATGAGAAAGAGAGAGAGAGAGAAGGAGAGAGAAAGCATCCAGGTCTGGGTCTCCAACCACGGTAGACCATGTGGGAGTCTGGTGCCCTTAACAACCACGCCACCTGCCAGCCCGGAGAAGATTTTCTTTGGGGGGCAGGGATGATGGATTTGAGGGAAAGGCTTCAACCACATCAGCTCCCCTTTGGTTCTACATACAGAGTTTCTCTGAAGCACAGCAGTGGAAGGATGCTAGAGGAAAGAAAAGGTGATTCAGAAGTACTTCTTGGTTTTTGCATTAGGGTGCGTGTGCTCGCCGAACAGAGAGCCAGAGACAGTGAGAGGGAGAGTGAGAACCTCCCACCACCACCCATGACCATGCAGCAATCCCTTCTCCATTCTCCTCCTGGGATCTAGGGCATACATGCACATGCACCTGGTGTGATTTTCAAGCCGCTAGGTCTGGGACTTCAGCTGTGGTCGCCATGCGGGAGTCCAGCGACGTACCCGCTGCGCCACCTGCTGGCCTGAGAAACACTTTTTAAATTTTTGCTATAGGCGGGCTTGCCAGAGAGAGTGAGAAATCACCCGCCTGGGGACGGCCACACCACAATCCTTTCTCCTCCCTCTCACAATCTTGGGCGCACACTCACACGCACTTATCGTGAGTTTTAAGCTGCCTGGTCTAGGACTCAAACCGTGGTCGGCTATGTGGGCGTCCAGCGACATGACCATTATGCCATCTGTTTGACTCGAACAACTTTTGTTGGCTCAATCTTTCTTCAAGGGCAGACGGTACTTATGTAAGCGAGGACAGAGCTACATCTTTGTTCAATTTATCTGATTCGGGAAAACGTGACTTGGGGAGATCTCAGGGCACAGAGAAGGGTGGTGGGAACAGAGAGCCGAGCAGTGGGATCAGAAGCCAGGCGGAGGGGGTGGCAGTGTGAGTGTGTGAGTCCCACGGGCTGGGGCTCTTCATCAGAGTAGGCAAGCAGGGCCCTGTCTCAGCTACAAACTTCTACCACAGAGTGGCAGTGTTGCCCATTGTGGCTTACTCTAAATCGAACTTGGAGGAGGGCTGACTTGTGAAGTTAATTCACTCTCATTAACAGTTAACTGCTTTGTTTTTGTTTTTGTTTTTGCCATAGGGCATGTGCACTTACTAGAGAGAAAGAGAAATCACCTACCCACCCTGGTGATGGGCATGCTGCAATCCTTACTCTTCCATTCTCCTTTTCGGATTTGGGCACATATTTAAGCTGCCTGGTTATGATTTTCAAGTCGCCAGGTACAAGAATTGAACTGTGGTTGGCCATGTGGGAGTCCAGCACCTTAACCACTAGGCTCCAACAGTTAACTGTTAAGGTCTAGCTTGTGAGAAAGCTTTTTTTTTTTTTTTTTTTTTTTTTGCTATAGGACACATGTGCTCCCTGGAGAGAAACATGGGTGGCAAGGTGGAGTGAGAAATAGTCCCCTGGCGGGGGGGGTAGAAGGTTGAAGATGGGGGGAATGGCCATGCTGCAATCTCTTCCTTTTTCCTCTTTTTCTGTTTTTTTTTGGAGAGCTTTTTGCTACAGGGTGCGTGCACTCACCAGAGACAGTCAGAGAGACAGAAAGCGAGAAATCACCCCCCAGGGGGGATAGCCACGCCGCAATCCCTTCTCCTCCATTCTCCTCTAGGGATCTTGGGCACACATGCACACGCGCCCGGCGTGAGTTTAAGCCACCGGGTCCGGGACTCGAACCGTGGTTGACTACATGGGAGGTCAGCGACGTAGCCATTACGCTAACTGCTGGTCCCTCTCTTCTTTATTCTGTCTGCATTTTGGGGCATACATATACATGCCCGTTGTGTTCCTCAAGCTGCCGGGTCTGAAACTGCTGTCGGCCATGTGGGATCCAGCTGCCTTAACCACCACACCTCTGGCTGGCCCAAAAGTTTTTATGGTTCTTTTTTAGAGGTTTTTGCCTTAGGGAGCTTGTGTTCACTGGAGAGATAGAAACAGACATAGTGAGAGGGAAAGTGAGAAATCACCCCCAGGGAATGGCTACACCACAATCCCTTTTCCTCCGTTCTCCTCCTGGGATGCTAGGCACGCATGCACATGTGTCCAGTGTGATTTTCAAGCCATGGGGCCTGGGACTCGTGGGCAGCCATGTGGGCGTCCAGCAACATAACTGCTATGCCATCTGTTGGCCCCCTGACCCGGAAGTTTTTGATGCCATTCAACTTGATAATTGGACAGAGTGGGTCTGCCTGGCCCTCAGGGCATGCCCAAGCCCAGACACCATTGGATTTTCACAGAGGGGGTAGGAGGTGAGCATGGTGGGCTGCCTGCTCTCATCTGGGATCCTCCCAATGGTAGAATCTTGGTCAAGTGACATCCAGACTCTTCAGGCCTGTGTCCTCATCTGCAAAGTGGGTCAGAGGCACCAGCCACGCTTGGTTTGCTGTTAAGACTATCCTTATCATTATTTAACAATCAAGCCCAATAATGAATAAGAAAACGCCTTTTTTTTTTTTGGAGAGGTTTTGCTATAGGACGCGTGACCTTGCCAGAAAGACAGAGAGACAGAGAGACAGAAAGTGAGAAATCACCCCCCCCAGGGGGGATGGCCACACCGCAATCTCTTCTCCATTCTTCTCTTGGGATCCTGGGCATGCATGCACATGCGCCTGATGTGAGTTTAAGAAGCCACTGGGTCTGGGACTCAAAGCATGGTCGACTACATGGGAGTTCAGTGACATAGCCATTGCACTAACTGCTGGTCCCAAGAAAACACTTTTAGGGGTCTCACCAGGGGCCAGGGCATGGGGGGGACTGTCTTTTGATTGAACAGTGGAGGGCATTTGTGCCTTGGGATACTGGGACCAAAATTCTGGGACTGCCCATGGGCCTAGGTCTCCTGCTGCCCTGCCCTGATGGTTTCCTACCTTCTTGCTTTTTTAATTTAATTAATTCGTTTATTTTAATTTTGTGCTCATTGGAGAGAGAGAGAGAGAGAGAGAGAAAACCTCTCCCATGGGGGACGGTCACCCTGTAATTCCTTCTCCTCTCTCTCTCCTCGGGGAGATCTCCATGGGATTTTGGCCGTGCACACACATGTGCCCAGCGTGTCTCCTGGATTACGTTCTCACCGCATCCCCTGCCTGCGTTCTCACACCCTAGGAAGGAGGTGGCACTGTTCTCCCCACTTCCAGATGAGAAGACGGAGACTTGGGGAGGTGGAGGGACTCGCGTAGGGTGACAGAATTCGCGGGGTCTAAGGCCAGATCGCACACAACTCTGTCTTCTGTTCTGTTGGGCTGCTTCAGAGTAACGTTTCAGACATTTTGCTGAAACATTTGACCATTACAGTATTTCTCCATTTCGTGTGTGCAGTCAGAGAAACACGTGCGTCCACATGGCCCACACGAAAGTGGCACGGGTCGGCTCAGTCACCATCGGTGCTCTGTAAGCGGAGAAGCCGAGGCTGCTGAGTGACTGGCACAAGGTTGGCGTCACTCTGAGCCGAGGGTGGGAAGGAGATAGGTGAGCTGCTCTGGGGGCTGCCTCAGCCCAGCCAGCACAGCACAGGACAGGCCTGACCAGGGGCCTGGCCTCCGGGGCTTCCTGCAGCGGGACAAGGGGGAGCCATGTGTCAGCAGGTGAGCAGGTGAGAGCCTGCAACGTGGAGAGTGGCTCCAGGGCTGCTGTCAGTGAGGGAATACCTGGAGCCCAAGCTCATGGGCGATTGCTTCTTGGCAGCTGACGACCGGGGTGGAGTACTTGGTGACGGTGAAGATCGCACGGACCAAATGCAAGAGGAACGAGACAAAAGACGCTTCCTGTCCCCTGCAAAGCAAGAAGCTCAGAAAGGTACATGCAGAAGTCGCCGAGAGGGACTCGTGACCAGAAAGGGGAGAGGGGACCTTTATAAAAGCACCACTTGGACCTTGGCAGCTTTCTCAGCTGCAGGCCCAGTTGCCTGCCCCTCCTGAGGCCCCCGGATTGAGGGACGCACTTTCATGGGGTAGTCTTCCCCCTGGGCTGGGGCAGTCTTAGACCCAGGCTGGAGTGCACAGACTCCTCTCTCTGCTGCCCACTCTCCACCCCACAGTGAGTCCCTGTGCTGGGGTCCAGCCTCGGCGTGGGTGGGTTATCTCGACGGAGGCGGCGCTGGAAAGAAAGGAAGACTAAGGCCTCGTGCCTTTTCATGTACGTCCTTAGCCGGACACTCCCAGAGATCGCTCTCTGAGGAGTGACAACTGCTAGGAATCATCGTGCCTTTTTATTGAAAATGTGATACATGCAAGTAAATGGGTGAGGGGCAGTAAAAGATTTACTCTAAGGAACAGGGTATACAAAGCATGGAAGCAATAATTATAAAACATGCTGTTTGTCTTGTTAGCTCAGGCAAAGTCAATCACAGTTCTCAGGATGAGGAAGTCCATTTGTCTGCTGTATCTTCTTCTTAGATCTTGATTACTGGGAAGGGTCTTTTGAAGAGGGGGCTTGCAGGATGTTTGACAACTTCAGTCCCGGCCCAGGGTGATAATGTTGCTGGTTGCAAAGACCTAGATAGAAATCTTGTCTTGCTAAGTAAAGACACAGTTAATATATGGACTATCTATACATTACAACAATAGAGGGTGAGTCTATGATCTTATATGGGAAAGGAAGATGATCTTGTAGCTCAGGAGACAGCACAGGATGTTTTAAGTTTAGTTTTTCATAGTCAACAGCACCTAGATGAGAAACTCTTTGTAGTTGAAAGCTACCTGTTAGATAAGAGCTCCCAGCTAAAATGGTTAATCTTTCTGTGGAGCCCTCAGCTTTGTTTATTCTGTTGTCCCATCCAGGCTTTTTCCTCTAATAAATCTGTGGGTTCCTGCATTTTGTTTGTTGAGTCTTGTCAATTAGTGAGTTCTTTTGTTTTATCCCTGAGTCTCTTATGTGGTGAATGTGCTGACTTTCCTAGCGTGAGTTAACTTTGGTCTGTAGCTTTAACAAGGGGTATCTACATAAAACTAGCCTTAAACTAACTTAGTCTACATATGCTTCTAATGCTAATTTGGTTTATACTAACTTAATCTATATGTTAATTTTGACTTAAAAACAGACAGGTGGGGGAGTCTTAAACTTCCTGATCCTCGTGTCAGTCTTAGGGAACCACATTCCTACAAGATCACTAATTGGCTTTATTGCAATGGTTGGGGGTGATGTTTTACCCTTACACGGTACAGTAATAACATTAAAACTCACGGCAGAGAAATTGAATACCAGCCAGTTCAAGGACACAAGGGAGAGCTCGTAAACTGGGCCTAGCCTCAGTTTCTTCCCAGTCCAGGCCTTGCCTTAGAATGGGAGGCAGCATCCTTACCAGCTTGTGTTGCCTGCATGGCCCCGTCATCCCTGTGCTGGTCCCAGCGTTCCCTCTCCAGGTCTCAGCAGATTGTCCAGTTTCCTCCCTGTCTTCCAGGCTCTGCCTGTTCCTGTCTGTGTCTCCAGGTCCCTTGGTGGCACCATCTGGCAGATCTACAATGCCACTGCTCTCTGTCCTGCCTGGCCCTCATCTCGGGGTCCTGCTAGGCTGCAGGCCTCAAGGGGGTCCACTGTGGGTCCCTGGTGGGGACTGGGTGGCCCTGCCTCCTGCCCCAAGTGACCATGGGCAATCCCTGCCTATGTCCGTGGTCCCTCAACAGCCACAGGGACAGCCCCAGATATCCCAGAGCAGAACCAGATGGGCAGGAACCCTTGGAAAAATAGTTCCCCAAAAGCCGATTGTTTTCTTCTTTCTTCCACAGACTTTAATTTGCAAGTCCCTGATATACACTGTGCCCTGGATCAACTACTACCAGCTCTGGAATAACTCCTGCCTGGACGACTGAGTGCTCGTGCCGAGACCCTCGGGGTGCAGGTGGCCATGCTGTGCACTGGCAGTTATAAAATTCTAACGGCCTTGTCTCCCTCACTGAGGTCTTCTTACACATACGCTTGTGCAAGCGCACCTTACTGTCCTCACCGCCCCACACGCTCAGCAACACTCACACCAACAACCTGCATAGGCCTCATACTCCTGCCGCTCACACGCACGCACACACTTGCACACTCATGCTAACACCCACACACTTGCTCACACACAAACTCGGTGTTTGGGGCCTGGTGCAATTTGTCAGAATGCTGATAATGATGGGGGAGCTTTCCCATTTCCCTCCGGCCCTCCCGGATTCAGGCCGTCCCTGACCTCCGCCCGAGCACAGGAGGGCCTGTTTCTCACCTGCATACACACAGTACTGGCACACGTCCCTTCGAAAGTGTGTCTGAGGTCCCACACCCACCCCTTGGTTTGACGGTTCACCAGAAGGCCTGACAGGACCCAGCATACCAGGGTGCTCATGGCTGGGGCTTGTGACAATGACAGGGTGCAGAACAAGCTCAATGGAGGCAGAACATACCTGGGACGAAAAGTCCAGAGAAAAGCAGGTGGGAGCTGCAGAGCCTCTCCCAGAGTGGTGACGGGGCGTGCCTGCCCCCAACACAGCTGTACCTCTGCTTGAAGTTTACCCCTAGGAGGGATCCTCAGAGGCTGGAGGCCCAGGGATTTTCTGGGGCTGGCCATGTGGGTAGGCTCTGCCTGGCATATGGCAAATTCAGAAAAGCAGTGACCTTGTCATACCGACAGTGTAGACACGCCAAGGCCCTCTCCTCCTCCAGGAAGAACTGTGTGCCATCCACGTGCCCAGACTCCAGCCACGGGAAGTCTTCCAGGCAGCCATCCTAGGACAGCAGTCAGATGTCCGGGCAAACCTTCTTGTGCACAGGGAGCCATAGAGCCTGCCTGCTGCTGGGGGAGAGCGGAAGGTCCCCCAGCTTGGGAACAGGCATGGGTGTGGGCCGACGGTGCACCTGTGTACCACCTGACCATCCCGCCTCCTGCTGGAGCCCGTGCCTCTCACAGCCTGAGAGAGGGCTCTTGGTTCCTGGTGCTGGCCTGCAGCCTCGCTGTCCCATTTGATCATCACGAGAACCCCATGGACCAGAACTTCATGGTGAGGAGCTGCCGCAGGTAACCTCTGTCCAGGGTCTAACAGCCTCACTTAGCTTGGCCACGGATTGAATTTTTACAAAGGCATATGGTACATATTCTTTTGTTTCTGGCTTCTTACACTCAACATACAAACATGGGGACGGGGAGGGTGGCCACGCTGCAATCCCTTCTCCATTCTCCTGGGATCTTGGCCATGCACGCACATGTGCCCAGCGTGTTTCGAGCCATCCGGTTTGGGACTTGAACTGCGGCTGGCCACATGGGAGTCCAGTGATATCATCGCTCTGCCATCTGCTGGTCCCTCAGTTTCTAAGGATAACAGCTATGGGACCAGCCGTGGTGGCATAGTGTCAGCACAGCTCTGCACAATCCCAAGACCCTGTGGGAGGCCCCAGGTTTGCATCCCAAGGTCTCCCTGTGTATTCCAGGTGCACAAAACTCTCTCCCTCCCTCTCATGGAAGGAATAAACAAGCTTATAAAAGGAATAACAGCTATGAACAATATGCATGCCTGTACGTGACCAGTGGTTGGTGTATGAATGTGTTTTTGTAGGGCATATGCCTAAGAGTGGAGCCAGAATAATGGGATGCATAGATGGTCTCCTTTAGCTGTTTCTGTGCAAGACTATTTTTTTTAAAGAGTGATATTTGCTATAGGGCGTGTATGCTCACTGGAGAGACAGAAAGTGAGAAATTGCTCCCTGGGGGGATGGCCACACTGCAAACCCTTCTCCTCCATTCTCCACTTTGGATTTTGGGCATGCATGCACATGCCTGACTTGAGTTTAAAGCCACTGGTTCTGGGACTTGAACTGCAGTCATAGTTGAATCCAGTGATATAACCATTATACCATCTGCTGGTCCCTTCTCAAGACCTTTTAATATCTTTGACATTTTTACTAAATTTTCCTTTGTTACTTATGGACTTAAACCTTACTCAAACTCTAAATTCCCTTTTTTTTTTTTTTTTAAGATTTTTGCCATACATCATATGTGCTTACCAGAGAGGAGAGAGGCAGAGACAGTAAGAGGGAAAGTGAGAAATAACATCCCTGGAGGGGAGTAGTGGCCATGCCACAATCCCTTCTCCATTTTCCTCCTGAGATTTTGGGCATGCACACACATGTGCCTGGTGTGATTTTCAAGCTGCCAGGTCCGGGACTCAAACCATGACTGGCCATGTAGGAATCCAACACCTTAACCATTATACCACCTGCTGGCCCTCAAACTCTAAATTCTTCCTTGTAAAATATATTTTATTTTCATGACCTAAGTTTTCTATTTCTTTTTATAAAAAAATTTTCGGTAGGGTGCACAAACTTGCCAAAGGGTAGAGAGAGAGAAAGAGAGAAATCACCTCTCAAGGAGGCCACACTGCAATCCCTTCTCCATTCGCCTGTAGGGATTTGGGACACACATACACACGCCCAACATGTTCTTGAAGTCACTGAGTCTGGGGTTTGAACCTCACTGTCGGCCATGTGGAATCCAACTGCTTTAACCACCCAGAGACCTGGGTGACCCTAATTGCTCTATCTTTATCTTATGAAATGTCATACTGGCATTGTTCTTTTTAGAATGGTTTTTTCAAACTTTAGGGGATTGCTTTGAATTTTTGAAAGTGAACTCTCCTGCCACACCAACACGCCTTGCTTTATAACTGGTCAACAGGAGGGGTTTGGTGGCAGCTGGCACTTATGACAGGAGCAGGCACCCGAACCCTGCCGGAGTAGAATGAAGGCCACCCAGCTGAGGCCTCTGGTGGCAGAGTCGTTCTGTGCTCGATTGTGGCGAGGGCACGCGAATGTGCACGTGTGACAACAGCACCCACACACAGGTGCCCACGGCGACTCCTGGTGCTGGCATTTCTCCGTGATTCCATACGATGTGCTCAGGAGGGGGCAGCCCGTGAAGAGCACAGGGGTATCTGTGCACTACCTTTGTGACTTCCTGAGAACACGTAACTACACAAAGTGAAAGTTCGAAAATGAAGCATTGGCTGAGAACTCTAAATGATTAACGGGCATGAAAAATCCACTCTCTCTCTCTCTTTTTTTTCCTAGAGTGTGTGTGTACTTGCCATAGAGATCCAGACAGAGGGAGGAGAGGAGAGCACCCCCAGTGGGGAATGCTTATGCTGCAATCCCTTCTCCATCTCTCCATCCATCTGGGATTTGGGGCACTCACGCACTCAGCATGTTTCTTTTCTTTCTTCCTTTTTTTTTTTTTTTGAGAGTTTTTGATATAGGGTGCATGCACTAAGCAGAGAGAGAGAGAAAGCAAAAATCACCCCCCACCAGGGGGGATGGCTATACCTCAATCCCTTCCCCTCCATTCTCCTCTCGGGATTTTGGGCACACATGCCCATGTACCTGGCATGAGTTTCAAGCTACCAGGTTTGGGACTCGAACTGTGGTTAAATGTGGGAATCCAGCAATATAACCATTATGCCATCTGCTGGCCCCAACCCAGCATGTTTCTGTCTTTTCTATTTAAATCATTATTTTATTTAACTTTATGTATTTATTTTTAAATTGGTTAGAGAAGGACAGAGTGAGAGGGGGGAAAGTGAGAAAGCAAGCTGCAAGTCTGGGACTCGAACTGCGGTCCGCCCTGTGGGAGTCCAGCGCCCTTAACTACCATGCCACCTATCAGTCCCCCAGCATGTTACTTAAACCGCAGGGTTCAGGACTCAAACCATGCAGTTGGCCATGTGGGACGCAGTCAGTTAACATTTATTTGAATATTTATTTTGCAGTAGACACTGTTAAACACTTTATATTATTATTATTATTATTATTTTTGGAGAGGTTTTTGCTATAGGGCATGTGTGCTTGTCAGAAAGACAGAAAGCAAGAAATCCCTCCCCGGGGGGATGGCCATGCTACAATCCCTTCTCCTCCATTCTCTTCTCCGAATCTTGGGCATGCACACACACACGCCCGGTGTGAGTTTAAGCCACCGGGTCCTGGACTCAAACCGCCATCGACTACATGGGAGTCCAGCGACATAGCCATTATGCCAACTGCTGGTCCCACACTTTATACAATTATTATCACTAATCTGTATAACTGCCCCATGAAGTAGGAACTATTATTCTCAGAGAAGAGAAAATTGGTTAGCATTATCCCACATAGCCAGCAAGGGGAATCCCACCTGGGTCTGGCCCAAAACAGAGTCCTGAGCATTCCTGAGCACTGGTAGGGAGAGTAGAATTAAAACACACACACACACACACACACACACACACACACACCCCTTGCTCGTTCAGAGCTTCCAGCTGTCTGCAGCTGGTGGAGAAGGGGTGGCTATTGTGCATCTCAGTTCACAATTTTCACGTGTGTGTGAGGAGTCTCCTTGTGGTGCTGGTACCGGTGCCCCGCCTGTGTGCTCTCAGGTCTCAGCCTTTCTGTGTGTGCCAGCTCGACTCCTAGAGACACTACCTGTACTCCTTTATCTGTGGGCTCTGTGCTACTTGCTCTGCTCAGAAGTCATCTCAGACCAGAGGTTCCAGGGAGTTAATACCCCTCAAGATCTGTGTGACCAATACTGACCAGGACTGTTGGATAAATGCCCAGCTCCCCTCCCCTCAGGTGGACGAACAGCCTGTGCATGGCCACGGGTTTCTACAGTGTCCCAGAGCCCACTGGTGGTGTCAGCCCTCACAGTTGTTGTCTGAACTCTTGGGAAGGAGTCGTTCCTCTCCAAGCTACTGGATATGATTGAGGACAAATGTTACAAGTCGGTGCAGAGAGCTGCTGGTGGAGGGAGTGAGTGAGAGGAGCCTGGACGAGGTGTTTGGAATCTTGGCCCACCCTCACCTGTTTGGGTGGGGATGGTTCATGCTCCTCTGTTGACATGCTGCCCTGGGAAAGGAGCCTGTTGTAACAAACCCTCCTGGCTTCTCCTTGTCCTTAGCCCATCCTCTTGTGTGGAATTCATCTGATTGGTCATTTAGAAAGAACAGAGTGAGCATTGTCTCCCAGTCCCCTTCTTTCCTGGGGTGGGGGACATGCTTTCCTTTGTTCTTCTAGGAGAGGATCTGCTTATAGAGAAAACTGCTCTGGTGCCACGTGCTGCCTGGGGCAGAGGCCTAATCCGGGAGTCTGGAATTAGGAAGTGCACTTACCTACATGTTTCACTTAGTCCTCCAGTAACAGGGGCTCGTCTTGGTTCCCTGTTACTTCTCGTTTCCCACTTTTAGGTGAGGAGAGGTACATTCCTTACTGAGGCCCTCTGAGATGGCATCAGAGGCCCTTCCTTGCAAATGTCAGTTATCAGGCTGTTGGAAAAGTCATGATGAATTTTTTGTTTGTCTATGCAAAAATGTATCATGACTTTTCTAACAACCCAGTAAATTACTTTGGGCTTCTTTCCTCCATATGAGTCTCCTCCTCCTCCTCATGTCCACCTCACTTTAAAATATAAAGAGTCTACTTGGTTTGAGAATGGGTGCAAGTCCTGCTCTCCTGCAAGTGCAGGTCACGTGGGCCAGAATATTCACATTGCTTCCCTGGGACCCAGACACCCCGGCTCGGCAGACCTGATTACATTATACTGAGCTGAAGAATTTGGAGGAAAAACAAGAACAAAGAGGATGGAATCATAAACATTAAGATAATTAAGAAACAAAAGGCTGAAAAACATTTATTGTCCGTATAGAGGATTACAACTTCCCGCAGGGAACTCTCAGATCCGGGGACCACAGGTGTGTGCTCCGGGGAATCTAGCCATCGCTGCAATTTTTGCTCAAGATCTTGTACCTTTCAAACCAGGGTGCAGCAAACACTGAGAAGAAGCACTTGATTTGCTAAAACAAAAATGCAAAAGGGAATTTAGAGAGACAGACCTGCAAGGTGAAATTGAAACGGGGAAAGAAGAGGCTATCAGCTGGAGGATGGGGAAATGGTGCCCCTTGACTGCCCTCCAGCCAGGTCCGGTTTGATAGCCATACTGATATTAGTCCCTTGATAGTGATACTGCTGGGACTGTTCCAGAAAATGACTTGTTGTTTGTGGTCAGATTTGAAGAGTAGAAATAAAGAATCTGCCTAGCCCACATTCACCATGGGGACCACCAGCTCTTCCCTCTTCATTTCGCTCATTTCCTTTTTTTACTTTACACCTCCCCTTCCCTGGCCTCTATTGGCTTATTTATCCACTCCTCTGTGCATCCTCCCTGCCAGCCCCCCATCTGTCCCTCCACACATCCATCATCCATCTCTATCCATCATCCTTCCTTCCACCCCTCTGTCTGTCCTTTCATCCATCCATGCATCTCCATTCATCCTTCCTTCCTTCCATTCCTCTGCTTGTCCATCCACCCACCCATCTCCACCTATCCTTCCTTCCACCCCTCTGCCTATCCTTCTGTCCTTCCTTCCTTCCTTCCTTCCTTCCTTCCTTCCTTCCTTCCTTCCACTCAATCCATCCATCTTTGCTTCCTACCTTCTGTCCATTCACTTGTCCACTGCATTCTCTCTCTCCTTTCTCTTCCTTCCTTCCTTCCTTCCTTCCTTCCTTCCTTCCTTCCTTCCTTCCTTCCTTCCTTCCTCCCTCTCTCTCTCTCTCCC